CATTTTCTCTCACTTCAACACTTTACCCTGGGGACACTGACTCTTGTTATGTGGCCAGGTTAAAAGTTTTAGCAACCTTGCTAAACCTCTAGGACATTCCTCTCCTGGAGGGAAGAGCACGTGTAGGGACATATTTAACTCTTACACTCAAACCTTCAGAAATGAACACTTAGTTTTCAATATATATAATAGAAATAGAAATATGCAAGTGCACACAGGAGCACAGGCTGTGCACAAACATCAGGCCCTGGACCACCTGGAAGAGCCTGAGTTTTCCACACAGGTTTTTCCTACAGAGCAAGGAAAATCCATGCAGTTCAGCAAAGCCAGACTCGCTCTGCAGAGCCCTCCCTCTGGGGACTTCAGAGGCAGAATGTCTGCACAATTTCAGGGGCTAATATGTCAAAGCTTAAAGCAGCCTGAAGAATTTAATGGGGATTTAGATGCCTGCAACTGCAATGTTGTATTTTTGAGAGCAGTTGAGTGAGATGAATGGCATCTGCTCAGGAGTCCTGAAACACCCTGCCAGTGTCACACCCTGCCAGCACACACAAACCAAGGGGCAATGCTTGCATCACTTTCTTCTCAGAAGAAGGAAGGCTGACACTTGTCATAAGCTGAAGTTGCTCCAAACCAAAAGGAAACACTGCTTATAAACAGTAGTGGTGTTTTCATACAGAAACTAAACAAATTTGGGCAGGTGAATATGAACAAACCAAACAAGGAACTCATAAAGGATATTCCTTATTAATATCCTCCCCCTTCCTGGTACTACTCAGGTTTTTTGTTTGCATTTCCCACATCTCTTATCTTTGCTTTCAGATACAGAAAGCCACACAGCATGCCATAGCTTGACTATTTGCATTCATCAAAGTGAAAATTCCTATTAATAAGAATTCAATTATTTGGAAAACAGTTCCTGGCAGCACAGCAGCACCTAAGTTCCTTTCCAATGGGAACTTGACTTTCTGCAAATCTCATTTGACTAAAAAAAAACCCCAAACAAATTAGAAATAGATGGTCTGCTATGACTCCAAAGTGAAGGGCTGCAAAGAAATGAGCATGAAAAGCAGAACCTGTCACAAGCATCTGTGGAACAGCAGGAAGTTATGGCCAGCCTGTGACAGTAGCACTAAGACTCCACATGGGAATACTATTAAATTAACAGCACATTGAAATTAATTGCCCTTTTTTTTTCCCTGAGGATTTTAATTTTTTTTTTTCAGTTGCCCAGCAGGTATCTTGTAATGCAGTGGGTTTGATTTGGTGGGGAGGTTTTCTGGTTTTGCAGCTCTTTCTGAGCTGTGTTTCCAAGTCCTGTGTTATTAATTTATCACCCAGGAATAGAAAAGCAGCTCCAGTGCTCTGACCCAACCACACCCAAATCCTCAGGGAAGTCAGATGTCTCTTCAGAAGCCATGGGCAGTGAGATAACAGCATCACACACACTCTTTGAATTTTAATTATCACTATTAAGGATTAGGAACCCTGTGAGCAACCAATTTAGCTGGCATTACTAAGCCAGAGTCAAGCCTGCTTTTAGTTAACTGTAATGCAATATTCATGCCTCAAACCTGATTTTAGTGAGTTCCCTTCCCTTCTGGAGCAAGTACATCACTGGAGGCTCCAAGTCCCCTCTTTGGCATCCGCACCCTCACTTAATTCTTGACCACAGGGGAATTTTAACGGGGAATTAACTAATCCCGCTCTTGCTACTGCAAACATGAGAGAGAACTGTTATTCCAGTTCAGGAGAGATCAGCTTTTCTCCTGTTAAGCTATTCTTTCCTAAAATAAAGCTGGAAATATGGGAAGATTGACTGCCCCTCCAAAGCTGCTTTAGTGTCTGAACAGGTCACTTACACAGAAAGAATTTTCTTTGAAATATCCTGGTGTTGATGACTCTGTTTTTCTGCTATCATTGCTAATCCCCTCCATTCCATAATTAGGATTGTTTCTCCTGACATTATTTCTACAGATTCCATGCTGGGCCATGACTATAAAAGACAGGCTACAAATCTGGCACTGAGGAGAAAGAGGAAAAAAGAATAGGATTGCAAAAAGAGCAGCTCTCATTTTAACCTTCAGGAAAGCACAGTTTTCCCTAACTTTTAGCACAGGGAAATATTCTGACTGGTGCCTAACCTTAACTGAGAGTTTTAAGTGACTGCTATATATAATCAAAGCTAGAGCTGGTTTGGTGAATGACTTGCAAAGAGTCTCTGCATGTGCCAGCCCTGCAGGGTAATGTCCTTGTTTAAATGGATTAACGTGGGATTAACATGACCAACAGCTGACACACGGGATGCCTGAACACAGCAAGGCACAACAGGAAAGCTCCCTCCAAGAAAATTAAAACATCTCCCTCTCTTCTCCCAGCTAAACCAAGCAACAGAACGAAAGGAACCACCCAGGTGACAAAAAGGCCAACGAAGGAGGTTTGCCATTTGCCAGAGCTGTCCCTTCTCTCTCAGCCAGGTCATGTGCTACAAACACCAGCAGCACACATCCTGCTCTGCTCCACAAGACTTCCCTTCTCCTTTCCCTTGGCCCTGGGAAGAGCCTCAGACCCTTCCTTGGGCTGCTATCTCCCATTAGACCAAAGCTGCCATCTCCAATCTCGCTGCTGTGAGGTCTGAACTGATCAAAGATCACGAGGAGCCCACCAGGTGCCCTTGCTGGCTGCCCCAGCCCTGCCCATGGCCAGCCTGGGCCTTGGGCTCTCACCAAAGCAGCCCTGGACAGGAAGCACCTGGGTGCTGCCCTTTTATAGGGCAGGTGGAAGCAGGGCTGTTGCTGCTCTAAGTGAAAACACAGCAGTATCCAGCATCCTGGCTCCTGGGGGGAAAGTGTTCTATTAGCCAGAAAAATGCTTTCCACCCTGTGGTGCCTTGCAGACCTTTAAACTTGCATCTGCACGAGTGAGAGAAATTCTTCTATCGTTCTCACAACAGTTAAAGCACGGAAACCATTTGTAGACTTCAGGATTAGTTTTTTTTTTAAAAGAGAGATAACTTGATTCTCATTAGAATTACCCTCTCAGCTCAGCACAGGGTGCTATGGGCTAGGTAGAATTTCCAGGGTATATTCCCCATCCATGATAGTGGGAAGCTGAGACTGTTTGACCAAATTGCATGGTCATACACCACCTGCTTTTTCTCATTCCATTCTGGACTACTGAAAGAGAGAGAGGATGAAGACCAGAAATGCTGGGCACCCCATAATCCTGATTAACCAGGAACTGCTGTCATGGCTAAGCAATCCATCCATCCTGGTAGGAGGATGATGTGAAGATAATGAAGTGCAAGTCTTTGGGTGTGGGGACTCAGAGCCAAAGGGTAAAAGATCATTATTTCACCCAAAGTGTTCACCACGCATTTCTAGCTCTGCTTTTGAAACAACTCATTTCAGCTGAGAAGAAAATATTTTCATGGATGGTGTGTTCTTGCTATAATTCATGAGACTATGTATAAAAACAAAACATGTTTCTCCACAGGAAAAAGAACAGGGACAAAAACTCCCCAAAGGCCCCAGGTTTTTAAGGGAGAACTGGGAGTGTTGATAACCAGTTTTGGCACAGCTGAAGAAAGGAAAAATCCCTGTTAAGAACAGTATGGTTGACTTTAACTGAAATAACTCACCCCCTCAGAGTTGTCTGGGTCACTGCAGAAATCATTTCCTCTGGGGGTGTTTGAGCCTGGCAATGCTAATTCAGACACATGACAGCACCTGCATTGGGGGAACATACATCATTGCAAGAAAATCCAGCAGAAAAGCAACTTCCAGGCATTTTATGTGCATTTAAAAAGATACAAACAGGAATATTTAAAAGATACAACACCAGGAATATTAGGATTTGCGCGAGCCAAAGTTGACAGTCCTGTGCCCAAGCCTGACAAACATTACAAGCCTGTGACTATAAAGATAGCCCTGCAAAGAGCATTTTCTCCCTGTGAATAGCTCGCGTTCAGCCGCCCTTTGGGGGCAGCTAACGCTGTCAGACGCTGAGCGGAGCCCACAAATGCTCGGCGGAGGGCTGGGGAGAGCAGCGGCGCTGAATGGAGCGGGCGCTGCCCCCGCTGCGGGCACACAGAGCGCGTCTGTTCCGCATCCCCGGCGCTCGGAGCGGGCTGCGCTGCCCGCAGCGCTGGGCACCTGCTGGGAGCTCCCATTGAGGGAGCTCACATCCTAATTGGATTTTCCGAAGGCAGTGCATTAGCATTTTCCATGATCTCACCCTTATTAGCCAAATGGCTGATCAGGAGGAGCGGGGCACATTGTGCTCTGTTACTTTATCTGCTGCTGCAGTGTCTGCGAGCCAGCCCCAAATTCGTGCAGAGATAAAAACTCCCCTCTCCACAGCAGAGACTCGGGAGTCCATTGTGGAGCTAAGGTTGCAGTCAAACTCTAATTTTCAATAGCTCACCAAAAACAACCTCTCTCAGTGCTTTGCTCCTGCTCTTCCCGAGTCTGTCCTGTAAGTCAGGAATGCCAGCTCTTTCATCCCTGTTGGCAGAAGCAGCATTGCTCTACAATGTAAAAGCAGAAGAATCCTTTCCCATGGACCGTTCCCCATTGAGCCCCAAATCAAATGCTGGACATGTTTAATGCGGTAAGGTTATTATTTCTATGCACAGGCATTTGAATATTGAAAGGAATGGAAATAACCTGTTCCAGAAGAAGAAATGACACATGCAGGCTGTCCTGTAGCTGATGACTGTCTTTGCATAGCTCAAAAAACTCTTTGTGTCAGAATTTAAATCCACATGAAATACTCCTGAGCTACCATGACATCTCCTGTCCTGCAAAAAGCTGTTTCTTCTTTCAGGTGAGGTCCCAGCAGGTTTGGATACCTGTTCTCAAAAGTAGCCTTCTTAAAAGTCTGAAGGGAAGAGACAATCTTGCATGTAGATTATCAAGTAATGTTTGCTGGACACTCATCCACCAAAATTTTCTGAAAAAAATTATTGTCTAAATACAATTCCACTTAAAAAGCCAGGTTTTATTCTTGGTTAGAGGTTACATGACAACGTTCAGATTCATTACAAGAACAATTTGGAAATATAAAGCCATATTCACTGAGAAGTTGGACCCATTCAATATTTCTACTAAAATCCTTGCAATACAAATAAGTGCACACAGAAAAAACCCATGTGATTATGTTTTACATGTAATTTGAGAGCCAAAACAAAAGGAGATCGACCTGGACTCAAAAGGGGAAACGGGCACGTTTTAGCAGGCCTGGCATGGGTGGTACCCTGATCATAATTACACAAAGGGGTTTAAACAGTGAAGCAGATTTCCCTTTTACCAACCAAGGAGGAGAGGACAGAATTCAAGGTGATCAATCAACAAACCATTCCCTGGAATCAAATAAAACCCCTCATCATTCCCAAACAACAACCACCACAAAAAAAAAATCACACCACTATTGGGCTTGTAAGCTCTTGAATTCAATTCAAACCAGATGTGACAGTCTGAATCCCCAGCAAGAACTGCATCTCTTCTCATCAGGATTTTAAAGAGCTTCTCACAAGGCAGCACAAACAGCATCTTCAGAACAAAGGGCAGCAACGCTTCCCAGCAGAGTTCAACTGGATCCTGAGGATCACCAGCCTGCGCGAGCTGCTTTTCTATTGTCCTCACAGGGATTTCACCAGACATAAATCACATGCACTGAAGAGATAAGGAGCTAAGGAGCAAAAAACCCAGAAGAACACAGAATAATAAAGTTGCAAGAGTCCCTTGCAGCCTTTGGTTTACACTTCTCCAGGCCAGGGTCTGTCAGCGAAGGGCTCACTTCTCCAGGGAGGAATCTGCAAAAGCAAAATCAATGGGAATTACTGTGACATTGAGAAACACAACTCGCTCAGGAGTCATTTTCCTCCATTTTGTAACACTTTCACACACAGCCCCCCAAATCCAACACTGTACTTCATTACAAGGCTGTAATCCAACCAATACAAGTGGCAGTAGGAGTGAAGAAGCAAAAGAGAGTGGGCTAGCAAAGAGTGCTCCAGGATTCTCCTCCTCAGCCTTCCTCTGATCCTGGTGGTGGCTGACACAGAGCAAACAGGAGGGTCTCATGGTTTAAAGCCCCCATGTAAAATCTTTCCAGACATTTTAAAAGATCAGCTGACATTCAGCAGTGCCCAGAGGTGTACATTGGCATTAGGTGCACCCAAGAGAGCAGCTAAATCTCACAGAGGGAGTAATTAGTACCCAAGGCTAAGCAGGTGTCTGTGATCCAAAAATGTGTTTGAAAGTGAGTCACTCAAGCTAGGAAAATAAAACAAAATTGGAGAAAGGAAAGATGCTATTGCTGGTGCAACACATGCTTCCTGAAGCTTCAAAACGTTTTGGAAAAATACTCTGATACATCTCTAGTAGCACAAGCACAAATGCAGTCACTATTTCACTTAAAGAGAAAACATCAGGAGTAATGAATCCTGATCTCTTGGCTTATAGAAATAAAATGATCAAATCCTGCAGCTGTTTAAATCACATATCCTGTTCCTCTTCCCAAGAGACTTTTCTGCCTGGTACTCTCAAGAACTACAACACATTCTGTGATCTTCAGCTCAAGCTGACTTTTAAAAGCACTTTAACTTCACATGCTCTGGAGTTAGGAATCAGAAGTGTGCTAATGGCCTTTTTGCGGTAGCAGAAATCAAGCTGGATCAGTAAAAATGCTGAAAATAATCACATTTTCATTCCCAATGGGGATGGCAAGCTGCTAATTAAATCTGTCTTGACTACTTGGAAGCGCTGATAATTTCTCATGTAATATATGCACTGAGGAGATGCTAATAACAAAAATGTTAGGGGTCTGGGATTTTTTCCAGGAAAATTAAGATGTCAATTAATTGACTTTTTTTTTTCTATCTGGTTTTTACTGAAGACCTCCACAAATCCATTTTTTTTCTGTTTTTCATATTTTCCCCCCCTCTCCCTACAGATGTCATTATTTTCAGTGGCAAACCCCACACTTCTCCCTCCTCTTCTTCCAATTAGCTGTAATTATAACAACATTAGCAGCAAATTAGGTGCCTCCAGGGCAAAAATCTGGGAAGCAGCAGACTGTGGAAAGGAAGGGGAGATGAGATTCTAATGGAAGTGAGCAGGCACATCCATGGGCTCCTCTGGGCACCCTGAGGGCTGTGCAGGTTGAGCTCTGCTTTCCCTGAGCCTGCCAGGATGAGGAGGTGACCAGCTGCTGCCACAAGCCTGCAGAGCTACTCCTGGAGAGGGAAACCAAAGGCTCCGTTTGGGCTTCTCCTCGTGCCTGGCATCACTGGATCCAAGATAAAAACACCCAGCTCAGGCTGGAGAAACCCACTGGTTGTAGCTGATGTTCTGAAGGGGTAACTGGGGTCCTTAAATGCATCTACTGGGAACATTTGTGCCAAGGGAAAAAATGCAGCAGATTAATCGTGCAAAGGAAAAAGCCAAGCAGTTGCAGCATGCAAAAGGGTTCTTGCCCCGAGTAGGCTTTTGAGCAATAAACCTTTTTTCCAGAGATTTTTGCATTAAAGATCTGGGTCCAGGGAAAAACTCCAAGATCAAGCTCTTTTTTACAACTGTCTTTTCAATTTTGCACAGTTGAATAAGGAAGGAAGTCAATACTGCTTGCCAAGTAAAATGACATTAAGTACATTTGCTGGAAATCTTCTTGCCTTGCTCCTTAAAAAATTAAAAATAACCACCCAAATCAACTACAAAAACCAAGCAGAATGACATAACCAAGAACAAAAAGGTCAGATTCTGACATCAGGAGTGCAACATAGCACAGAGAGACTCAGGAGCTAAATTTCCTCCTAAGGCAGCACTGCTGGTCCAACAAGACAAGGCTGGGAGAACTTCAGCACATTTTAGGACTAAGATTTCCTGCACAGCAAGGTACCTGGGGAGGGATCAGTCCAGAGGTGAGAAAGAAGAGTTATTCTTGGAAATATACTGGGACCTTTTATGGCAACACCTTTGTTTTTTTGGAGGACAAGCTGAACTTAGCTATGAGTTATCTGAGGTTCTAAGCAGCTTTTTGAGGGTTGGGGTTTTTATTTCCTCTCATTTTGCCCACCCTATTTCCCTCATCCTTTCCTGTTTCTGATGAATTTCTTCCCAGTTTATTAGAAAGGGCTCAAATCTCAAAGTGCCAGATCCAAACCACCACACAACCACAAGGGCTCAGTGCTGGACACAATATTGCATAAGTGATCCTCTGCCAACTACCAAAACACACCTCTGGGGAAAATAACAGTCTGGAGAGCAAACTTTAGAAAATCGCATCAAATAGTGTTCATCAAATTTCTGTAGCAAAGGGTTGGGGTTTTTTTTAATTTAAAAATTCTTCAGAGGTAATCCTATATCTATAGATGATGGCAAAAAATGTTTTTTAGACAAAAATAGAAAGACAAACTGGTAGCAGTCCTTGGAGACAGCCTCCTCTTACCATGGCAGCAGCTGTGGAGAATGGTGTCAGTCAGAAGCACAGATAGGGTTACAGGAGAAACAGAAAACATGAGATTCCAGCTGTTACAGAAGGACCCCTGCAGAACCCAAGTCAAATGCCAAAGTACCCAAGTGCAAACACCTTCCTCCTTCACAGGAGAGGGAGGAAAACGCAATGAAGGTGCCTCTATACAAAGCTACAAAAAAAATTAGTAAGCCCTGTTTAGTTACATACACCTTTAAAGTCCCAATTACATTATGAGACTCTCACAGATTTCAGATATCTCTAAGCCAGGCTTATGAAATGAAATATTATCAAAAATATTGGTTTCTCAACTCATTTCACTGTGCTCAGCTCTGAAGTTACAACCTGTGACCTGTGTTTCATAGTTATTACTTAAGAAAAAATGCCCAGCGTCAAAGGAAAATTTGTTGAGGGAAATTTAAAGGTTTTCCCTAGAAACATCTACTGAAATAGCATTCCTAAAGGAAACTGTTTCATGCCTAAAAGTTGCTTCACTGCTGATTTGTTTCCTATAATGAAGACCTAGCTCAGCAGAGAGAAGATTTATCTGTCCATTTATAATCTACTGCGAAAATGAAGGATGAGAACTGAGAACCAGGAATGCTGCTGCACATGCTGGCCCATTTAGACCCACCAGGGTAATCAGCACTCATACAAAATGGAGCAAAGAAATGGGCACATCAAGAACTCTTGGTCATCACATATTCTTGGAGCTTCTATCCTGGAAACCTTTCCCAAAATACTTACAGATTTAATACAGACAATTATATGTAATACATAAAGCCAAGCTAGTGACTCAAGAGTGGAAGTTTGACCTCTGTGTGATCCGTGGATAAATGATCAAAATCATCTGTTTCAGCAGCCAGGATAAAGAGAATAAGAGCCCAGAAGGTGTTCAAGCAGACATCCTACACTGCACTATTAAGAAATCCTCTTTAAAGGGGCTGGAGCAAAAAGGGAAGGGAAAAGTCTCAAGTATCCTAATCCCTGTCCCGTTGAGAAGGTGGTGTTTGGATGTTCTGGGCAAGGATCAGAAACACACAGAGCACAGATTTTCAAGAAGTTTTTCTCAGGGAGTGGGAAGTCATGTAGTCCAGCAGGGTGGAAGAAGATCTCTCCTCCTTCAGACCCCCCAGGGCACTGCCCTGGACCACGGCTGCAGTTGGTGGCAGGACTGGTTTCATTCCCCGTCAGAAACATCCTCCCTGTATCCTCTGGTGCAGTAAATCACTCGCAGTTTGAGTGGGAGGAATGGCAAAATTAATCTCCTGTTCTGCAGTGCAGGCACAGCACTACTTTCCCTGTGACCACATCAGAACTCTCCCAAGAGCTGCTCTGTCATTATGGGATGCCCATCAGCCATTTTGGTGAGCTACATTCCCACTCTTCCCTCTCTTCTGGGCAAGCATGGATGACAGCAAATAATGGAACAGTTCCTCTGTAGCCATCATCTTCTTCTTCCAGGTGTAATACAACAGCTTCTGGACTCAGCAGTCCCTGCCACCCCCATGTGGTACCCAATGGCACCAGATTCCCACCCACAAGAGACTCCTTGTGGTGTCCATATTTGGAGTGGTCTGAAACAAGTACTTCAAAACACCCAGGAATTATTTCAAAGCCAGATACAAATATTACTCCTCCCTGTTTCCAAAAAACAGTTTGTACTGACCCTTTGCAAGTATTTAACTCTGCTCACTTCCATGGCTCTATTTTCATACCACCTGAACTGCCAGAACAGACCAGGAACAGCAATGGGCATTCTGTCTTTAAGGGGAAACAACATCCTAAAGCCTGCACTTTGTTACCAAGGACTCCTAAACTTGCCCCATGCTGGCCCCTTGTTTTGGCACATCACTAAATTCGGTCTTTGCTGGAGCAACAGAAGCTCTAAGGAGAATTCTGAGGGTATCTTTTCTTTAGGACTATTACTAGGTGTTTAATGAGGCAAATGTGTGATCCTGTAATGTGTAACAGAGACATTTTATGAATTGCAACAAAGCTATAACATAGAGGGTATTACATCAGAAACCTCACCTGTGGTGCACACACGCCAACCTTGACTCTCCAAGGCAAAGCTGTCACATCAGCACTCAACAGATAGACAGGAAAGTTTACTCTACATCCCTCAAAGGCCTCCATTTGAAAAAAAAAGTCCATTTAATACATGCTCTGTACAGCTGTTGTCTTACCATTTGCCTTGTGCTGCACATCTGGCGGAAGCTGGTCAGGAACACACCACTGATAGTCTGGCTGCACAGAACAATAAAACATTATTGCAGCAATATGGACTTCACAGGCACTTCAAACAAAAGAGCAGTGACATGATAAAAACATAATTGTGCTGCGAAGCCTCTCATTAGCCATACAAAAGCAGTTCAAAACAAAATCTTGTATTTGGGTTTGTTTCCACCTATCCCAGTCTTCCAGCTTGCTTCCTTCCCTATGGCATCAGAAAAATTGGTGTAAAACCTTTCTAGATCCCACAAATCACAAGGACATATTAAGAGGACCAAACCAGACTTAAAAAGGGCTGAGGAATCCAGTGCAGCAGAAGATACCAGCAGGCATCTCCCTCCACCAAAGAACCCCAGAGAAACCTGGCCCACCTAACAGGTGAAGCTGCTCCAGTTTGAATGCATCTGTAGCAGCTGTAAAATGCTCCAGGGTGACAGGAATGAACCATGGAATAAAGTTCTCTCCCCTCTCCCCTCTCCCCTTTGCTCACAGGTTAGAACTGCTGTTTCTATAGCATTAGCTATTATCAAATAACTTCCTGAAAACACCGTGGGATAGGGAAAATTCCCATCTTTCTCAGAAGAGGAAGTACTGGGAAGGTTATGTCCATGCAGACACAGTTTTGTCCAGGGAAATCTTGGAAGAAATAGTGCATTATAGTTTACACCACCCACTGTGGCAAATGAGCAGCAAATTACCACTAGAGAAAACAACTTTGGGACCAGCCATTTCAGCTGGAGCTGTGTTAGGCTGTCTGTCTGGAATAAGTAGTCCATGCAAGCTTGTCAAAGTCTAGGTAATTGCTGCTTCAAATTAGTTACACTGGAAAAATGATTCTTGTTTTGCAGAAATTACCCTGACAAAATCACTGAGTAGCCCCAAGGGGAATCTAGCAGATTTCAATTTGCAGGGAACAAATTTCATACACTCCTACAGAAGTTTTGCCTGAATTAAGATGGCAGGATGAAGCTGTAGATAGAGAAAACAGATTTAACTTTTATGTTTTGCTGTCACTCATGCTTACACAGCAGTAATCACCCTCATACACTGTCAGGAAAAAAAGGAGCTATTGTATTTCAATTTAAATTGTTCCAGTCACAGGAATTATTAACTAATTCTGTGCTTGTGTGCAAACAAAGTAGACCTTGATACAAAGCTTTAAGCACAGGTAGTTTTTCAACAATGGCTCAAATTACACTCATTTGCATTGCTTTTTTGAGTTTCTGGTGAATTTTATGTTCTCTGATCAATTCTCTTTTTATGTACCTGTACCCTGCAAATCTGAATTAATTTCAAGAACAAGATGTGCATTTTACATCAGACTAACCAAAATGTTTCTACTAGAGTTTAAAAAGGAAAGAAAAAGTGCAAGAACAGAAAAAGAAGGAAAAAGCAAAAGCACAGCCTAAACATGCAGGATTACGTATCAGGACACCCATTAAATTCTAACACCTTTCTTCATTGCTAACAAATTGCTCAGGGAGGTACCCAAAGCTCAGAGCAGCAACTCACACAGGCAAAGAATTGAAAAAAAAGGGTCAGAATGAAACTGGGAGTTACAAAGCAACCAGTCAGACTGACACCGGCGCTCCGGCAGGAATGACAAAGTTGTAAACCCAGTGATCCCTCACAGAATTAGAAACCCAGATGATGAAAGTTCAGGGAGAAGAGCCAAAATAATCTGGGCCAGTGGCCAAATTGCAGGGAAAAACATTCTGCAATACTTCCAACTTTGATAAATAGGCAGATAAGCACACTCCTGAAGCACAGAAATTGCTTGTCTGACCACAGCTTTTCCATTGGATTTCTATGGCCTGAAAGCCTTACATGCATTTTGCAAAAATTCAGCTATAATTTTTCAAATAATGAGCATCTTTCCATATGTGACAGCTTTATAGCCAGAATCAGATATTGTGTATTTAAAATGACATTCACCATGTTTAAATGCATTCTCAGTAGATTGGAACAGGCCAGGTCACTTAGATAACGCAATGCACATCAAAAATATTCTTTGAAGCAGTATTTTCCTTGGAATAAATAACTCCCACTCACAGAACCTGCTCCAGTGCAAAGCTATTCTTCTTCGTGCTGAGGAAGACAGGACCCTGTTGTGTTCCAGGAAAAAAGGCACATTTCCCATTGTGTTACCCACACTCAGACAAAACTTCCACTTCTCCTGATTTGGTTTTTATTACCTTATGTTGAAGGCTCAGAGCAGATCCCTACCTCTGAAGTGGGGTAATTATACAGCTAGAAAGAGCTCTGAATGTCTGTCATGGGAATAAATTAATCTAAGAAATCAGCAAGACTCCAATCAAACAACCTTATTTTTTAAATTAACAAACAAACGTAAAGGAACTCTGTTGTTCTTCTTAGTGCTGTTACAGATAAAGAGTATTTTCAAAGTGAATTCCATCTTGATCTGGACGAAACACCACACTAGGAAAGCACAGATTGAGCTGCTGCTGAGGCTGGCAGGTGATGTGAGGAAATCAGTGTCCCTGTCCCCCAGGGGATGGTGGCAGCCTTACCCAGCCCTGCTGCTGCTGCTGGGCCCTGCGAGGGGCTGGGTGTGCCCGCGGATCCGGACAGTGCAGAACCACCCCACAGCCCCCATAGCTGACACACGGGGAGAGGAACAGTGGGGCTGGGTAACTGGGCCTCCCAGGCTGCTCTGGGAGGTCTTTTGTCTGTCAAGTAAAGAAGAACAAGAATAAATGCATTAGCAGTAGAATATAATCAACACATAATTCAGGTACAAGTGGGTTGCAACGCTGCTTGTTGAGACCCTTCATACTACTTATCATTAAAAAAGTTATTTAAGACAGCTGACTTGTGCCACACCACAGTCTTGACACCTTTTATGTGAGGAAAATATGGACCCCAAGATATGGCAAGCACATTACTGTGTCTTTTCTATTCAAAAACAATTCTGTATTTTCATTACACATAGTTGCTTTCAATAGTTTGACGCAGAACTACATGGACAGTCACTGGAATGATAAGATAAGCAAATAATTTTGGTTTAGGACCAAAGCTGTGTGCCTCAGATTTGGGTCTGCCTTTTCTAAGGCCCTCTGCATTCCAGTAGAGTCAACAGCAATTTGCCTAAGGACTCAGTAAGGAGGGGTAAAAGATAATTAATATTCTGTGACTCTGTGAGTCACAACTAAATAATTTGACTTCAGAAAACAAACTAATAAATATTTTATATGCTTGCTCTCATCTTTAAAATCCTCCACAAGCTCAGTTTAATCAAATCCCGAGGCAGGAAGAGGCAAACTGGAAGATCTCCAGTGTGAACTGCTGGTGCATTGGGCAGCACCTGGCCGCTGACACTTGAGCAAGACCCCGCCACCTCTGATGCATGGCTTGGCTGAGAATAAGGCAATCCTGAAGTTTCTGTGCCACAACAACGTTGGGGAGGACAATAAATCACCACAGAGCATTTTGGTAATCAGCCGTCCTTTTAATGCATTGCACAATTTTGTCAAGACAGGAAACCTCGGAATTTCGTCATTCTTAAATGGGGATTGTGAAAGCTCAGAGTTTTGCATGCCATGATTTTACTATGGCTTCCTACTGACACTACTTTGAAGAGATAAAAAGGATGTTGCAAGAAAAGAAATTATTGCAGAGGCTGCTCAGCTAATTTGTATGGAGAGCATTTTTTTCCTCAGTGATATTAACATCACTCTGTAATTCAATTGCAGAGGTCAGGATTAACTACAGAAGCTCTTTATTTCAAAAGCTGGTTTGATCTTAGAGCTCTTATATCAAGTGCCAGTGAAAAAATCAAAGTCCTCTGGACTTCTTTTTGGTTGTGGCTACCCTCCCCCTCCTCCATTTTCAGATAGGTTTGAAAAGTTTTTGCAATAAGTACTCCCTTCATCTACTTATTTTGGAAGTCTTCTCTAATCGTTTCTCATCTTCTTACTGCATTACTTCAGAATGATTTCATCCCAGGTGGTGACCTCATATAAAATCCAATGTCAATTAATGGAAGCCAGAAAACCTTGAGTTGTGCGGAAAGTGAGAAAAAAAAAATAAAATACACATGTGCTGGCAATGGGAGCTTTCTTTTGACTCATACCTGAGAGCTGAGTTTACTCAGTTGAGATTGCAATCTCTCATTAATTTTCTGCAGTGCTTCTTTCTCCTCATTAAGCCTCTCTCGGTCAGATCTCTCCTTCCTGAAGTCCTCCTCGTATATTTGGACCTGCAATCATCATGAACAGTGTGTGAGCTTCAGCAGGGCCACTTTGTGGTTTGGTTGCTTTCTAAACCCTGCCCAAGCAGAAGGGTGAATTCCAAGGGGATCCCTGCTCCCTACAATCCTCCAAACAAAAGTTTCCCTGGTCTTTTTTTTTGTGGCTGGTACAAAGTGACAAGCAATGGCCATGCTCTAGTGGCACTCGCCAATTGAAACAGAAATTGAAAACTGAAACAGTCCCCAGTGCCAGTTTTTGTACAACCTTGCACTCAAAAAGCTGACTGGCAAATATCAGTCTCAAATATTATAAATGAGATAGCAAATACTAGTATCCATCTTTTTAAGGGATTAGCAGGTGGAGGACAAACATTTCACCAACATTTTTCCAGTTTCCTCTTCACTTATGGGCACTTTTAACTCCTTCCTGTATATCTCAGGTGCAAGGAGTTAGAGAAGAACTTCCCCAGCTCAGTGCAGAGGCAGAGGGGAGCATAATGTACACAATTCCAAATGGAATGGAATGTACACAATTCCCAGCAGAAATACAGATGTTTGACCCTGTTCCTAGAAAATAAGCTGCCTTGCAAATGCTGAAGGATGCAGTGGCTTAGCTCTTTTTTATGTGGTCAGGAATCACAGAGCTTCATCCCATTAAAAAAATATCTGACCACCCCAGGCACAAGCAGCGAGCACACGGATTTGGAAACAAAACACAAATCCATAAATTATTTGGTGTTAAGATGACTGACTTAATTCTTCAGCTAATGGGCAGGCATCCACCTGGTGAGAAGCTGGAGGTTGGTGGCACTTCTACTGACAAACAACAGCAAAGGCACGTTTGGGTGGGAACCACCACCAGAACTTTCAGAAGCCCTTTCATGTCCCCTTGGTTGCTCACTAAAGCCTGCTGACAGTCTCTTCCCAAAAAACTTGCTTGCTGTGGCTCATGCCCTGCCCCTTGGACAGATCTAGTTTTCTTTGTGCTGGAAGCAGTGCTGTGACTTCACAGAAGGACTAGAAAAATGTTCATACCTCAGGGGAAGAAAAAGGTCAGTGCAGGGCTTTATATGAAGAAAAAATTCTTTTCCTGACCCTCTGAAGCAGAGCCAAAACTGTCACTTGAAGAAATCTTTGCATCCTTGCATTCCTTGTCCATCTCCACACTTCTCAGTGTTTCTTCACTTCTTTTCTCCCAACTCCTTCTCTACTGTCCCACCTCCCTCCCACTCCCCAGCTGCACAATCTGCTGGAGCTGCAAGGGAACCTCTTTGGCACAGTTTTGCCATTTATCCTGTTGCCCTGAGAAAGAGGGGACACCTCCCAAGGAACGAATGCCTTCATTCCCTCTGCTGTGACCAGGCATGGGCTGATGACAGCCAGGCTCCTGTGGGACTCTGTCACGTCACTCTTGGTCCCAGGAGTCCCTCCTCCATCCAGTTGGAGCCTTCTGCTCCATTTCATGTAGAAGGAAGTCTGGACTCACTGTACTGATTTATACAACTAGAAAAACACATTCATAAAATGGATACCCCATGAGAATTTTGGAAAAAAAAAAAAAAACTGGTTTACTCTATTTTATTGTGTAGAATGAAATAACTCATTACTGTACAATCAAGTGCAGGATTTTGTTCTCCAGCATGTGGCAAGCATTACATTAGAGAGCAAAATCTGGCTGTGCTGTCAAACGTGACAGAAACAAGTATTTTATTCCCATTGAATAAAATTCCCATTCTGATCACATCCATTTGTGTGTCAATAATGTTAACCCTGACACTGTCCAGGACAACAGACCTAAAGTGTTAAAATCATCTGAAAACTATATTGTTTTTAAACAGATTCTTTCATATGGAAAGAAAAACAGTGCACAAAGCATTTGAGTTGCTCAGAGCAAAGATTTAAAAATAAATAGATACAAATCTATAGTCCTTGGGATGCAGGTTATGAATGCAAATGGTTTGTTTCACACTTAGAAAAACTGCAGTGCCAATACTCTAGTCTTCCAAGACTAGGATCTTTGGATAATTCTCCACAGTGGCAACTTCTAAGATAAAAGGATCAGAAAACACAATCAGGAATTAATGACAATTAGCATTCCCTGTGGATGACATGCAGACTCTAACAGAGAGCTGGACACCTCCAGGAGTCAGGAGAGCCATTTTGCTGCTTTGAGTCCTCCACAAGCCCTTGCTCCAGTCCTCTGCCAGGACTCAGTTTCACTTTGTGGACTCTGCTGTGATGACAGCATCTGAGGAACCATCGTTCCAAAGGGCTGTGGCTAAACTGGCTCTTCCTTTCAGAAGCTCCACACAGCAAGTCTACCAAGCACAATCCCTGGGAGAGAAGGGAAAATGATGCTGTGTGAAATCCATCCAGGCTCACTTGAGCTGTTCTTACCTGCTGTTTAAGAACTTCAAGTTGGGTTCTCATCTCCTCGATGCTGTTCCTGTCACCCTTCCCTGGAGGAGTCCCAACAACAGGTGGGTGCTTTTTCAACGTATCCAGAAGGGCCTGCAACATCAAACAGCAAAATTACTAAACAGAGATTCACTACATGAAAAAGAAAAGAATATCCTTTAAAATTATTAGGAAGAGGTTTCCCTTTCACTTGTAGTTGCTTCAATTATACACACTGGATATAAACTCACTTTACTACAGTAAAGTCTGACTGAAACGGTTTCTTTTCACTAAAAGTAGGGATTCCTACACATGGAACAAAGTAAAACCTCCAGCTTGAGAGGAAGATGTGTCGTCTCCATAGCTTGTCACTAGAGGGAGTTGCGAATACGCACAACACTGGTACCACTCTTACCTGTTCTACACTAAATTCTGCCAGAATTTCACACTTAAAGTCCTTCTCAGACTTTATTTTTACAGTACTATACAGCTCTCCCTTTAACTGGAATAATTAAATCACTCCTACATCTCTCTGTCTATAACCACACATTATAATTATATATTATTTTATTTACTCAAGCACAAATACTAAGCAGTTCTTTTCATTCTCTCACATAAAATACAAATCCCTGACTTCATCCCTTTCACAAGTTTACCCTTTTAGAAGCTGAATTCATGCTGATGATCCTCAGCCCTCCCTTGCTCTCAGACTCAAGCAGGAAGGATGGAAGATATTTGGAGGGGGAGGAGGCAAACGGGGAAGAATTGGCCAAGCAGGAGAACCAGTATCCAAAGTAACCCAAGGGTTGGAAATAATTATCCAAGGCCCAAGGAAAATCAAGCACTTTCCATGGAAGAACAGAAAAGGAAAGCTTTTTATCTGATGAGCTGCTGTCCCTAAGAATTGTGCAGAAGTGAAACTGGTTATAATAGTGGCAAAGCTTTGTTCCATGCCAATACATTCAGAAGGATGAACCTAAAACTGGGAGGGTGAAAATACTGATTACTGATTAACCCTTCTTCTGCCCCTTTGAATCTCCTTTTAACACCTTTTTGAGGAGGTTCTACAACTCAGAATTATGGCTGGGAAAAAAAGGAAAAATCTGGAAAATCAGTCTTTGGAAAGTTAATGGTAAGGTGAAGATTATTCCTAAACTGCATTTGGACACAATACTGTGAGACCCTGCTTTATCCATTCACACAAAAAGAAGAAAAAGTTGTTTGATTGCAGAGAATTTGTAAGAATTTCAAGCGGCTGAACCTGAGATAGCAGGGGAATAAAGTTAAAAGGGCACAGAGGGTGCCTTCCTGTCTCATCTACATTCATGACATGAGATTTTAAGGATGCAAATGCACTGAAAAACAGTAAATTACTGTTGGAAAAGTGTATATGAAATTGATGCTTCATTTAAAAGAATGGGCTATACACCCCATCTGTCTTATTATAGCCACATCATAACACAGCAAAATAAAACATTTAAATAAGTTGTTTAACAAACAAGGCATTGAATTAAAGTTAGACTGGAGCTTTGAGCAAGTCCTGTCAATGCATTTCAAAAAGAGCTATGGGTTGTGGGTTTTGTCAGATTTTTTCTTACGGCAGCATTATGTTTTTTGGCTTGACTTTTGCACATCATGGCCCTTTAGGTTATTAAAACACTTGAAGTTACACAGCAATGGTTACTGCAATGCATTTCCTCAGGAAGTGTTTGTGGTTCACCATTAAATACAAAATTGTTAGAAAACACCCACTGCTTTATGTGATCTTTTGATTAAACAAAATTACATTTATTACTTTCCCTCAGTTAAAAAAAATAATTCCATGTAGCTATTTAAAGACAATTTCCTCAGTGAGACATATATACACATAATATTATAGGTATGAATATGCATATATATGGATTTAAGCACTAGGACAGGACTATGTCTTCTGAAGAGAAGCCATCATTCTCAAACACAGAACACGTGTAAAATGAGTTTTTAAGCTGTGTGACCTTTCTTTTCAACCAGAGTCTTTCACTAGGTGCATACAGGAGCATCTTTGTGCCATTTCCTCTGCTCTGAGGAGGGAGGGTGTAGGAAGGGCTTAGACATGACATGCAGAGAGGTTTCATAGGGGAAGCCAAACACTCTGTGAGTTTTTCTCCTTGCAATGCAACCCTGCCAGCAGCCAAGGAAGGAGGCCCTGCATGCACAGGTCTGAGCTGAAGTGAGTTCTTGCTCATTCCCCAGCTCCCAAATGGTGATCATGTGTTTGCCACCAGGCTGTTCACCCAGAACTGAAAAGCTGCTACCTGGTAGGCCAGGGACAACAGAGATGCCACAATTAGAGGAATCAAGAGCTCACTCCTGCTCCTACCTTGTTGAGACGACTTATTTCACTCTCATAGTATTCCTTCCTCCTGGTCATTGAGGCATTCTTCTGCTTCAGGAGCCTGTTCTCTTCCTTCATTTCATGGAGAGCTTCACTAAGGACCTCTGTGTCTTTCTGGGATGCAAAGATACAGAGAGATGCTGCAGAAATGCAGATGGAAGCATTTTTCAAGAACAATTTTCCAAATAATCTTCTGTCTGACAGATGTGCTGCATTTTTGTTGTCCCAAACACAGCTGGGAAGCGAGGCAGCAGGAAGGCAGATCATTAGCACACCCTGATATGATAAAGTCTGTAGAAATTGTTTTGACCACTCACCATATGATGAGGCAGAGACAACATACCAGAATAAATCCCTGCTCTCGGCAGTCGCACGAAGGCATGGGAATGCTGGCAGGCCAAGCAGATCAAAATCACACCCACAGTTACCCCAAACCTGCATTTCTCTTATGAGAAAATGAGAGAATTATTCTCTCTCCTGAGAGAATAAGACCATGGCTAAATGCTGGTGGGGGCCCAGCCATTCCCAGTGCCATACAAATTTGAAGATGAAAACAGAAAAAAAAAAAAAGTATTTCAAATATTTTCTGCAGCTGCTTTATGTGAATAAAAATGTGAGATCCAACAATCACAGGCACAGCACACCACAGGAATGTTTTTTTTTTTTTTTTTCCTGTGTAAAAGGCTCATCTCTGTGCAGCCAGTCACAGTTTGGGCTCATCAGTTCATCACTGTGTGCTAATTAAGCCAGGGAAAAACACCCCTGAGTAACTTGCTTACATATGAGGAAGTTTGACTCTGCTGTGCTCTAAGTTAGCTAGGACATTTCACTTTCTCCAAAAACCAGGCAAGATTAGCAGGGTATCTCTGCAATAAGTATAGAAACTCATCCAGCAGCTAGCTCAAGCTGACAAGCACTTACTGGCTGAATGTGAAACTTTCAAGAAATTGCAGATTTAAGACCAAAGTTCAATGTTGGTTAACCTGTCCCCACAAAAAAAAAAAAAAAAGGACTATATTGTCATTTAGTTCATTATTCATGTATGCAGTAAAAAATCTCAGAAAGTGTACTGCTGATCCTTGTTTTTATAAAATGGTAGCTTTTCCATTAAAAGTCAGGCAGTAACATGAACAAAAATATGGACTGCCTCACACTGAATCAACACTGAGAGCAAATACAGGCAGTGATTCAGCAAGTACATAACACAGTTTGTCTTAAAACATGTAAATTGTTCTGTGGATTTGGACTCAAGTGTGTTTAGCTGGGACTAATTGATAAGCAAGTAAAATGGAAGTTCTGCCTTTGCAGATGTTAAGCTAAGGGGGTTGCATTTCTTTTCCTGCAGCAGCTAACTCACATCTCATCTGAGCTGGAAGTGATGCAACTGCCACTTGTTTCAGGTCACCATGTGAATAGAGAAGCCCAACTTCAGCCATGGTCACCATCCAGCAGCTCTCACCAGAGGTCATGGAGTACATGACACCATGAAGCAGAATGAGCACAGGAAGCACCTCTCTGTGGGGTTTCTAAAATGGAGCACAAAGTTTTATGTAGGTGCTCATCATTCAGGCTGGTGGTATTACTGAGGTGGGAATCCAGCTCAGGGATCTAAATTGAGAAGCAAAAGCCCACAAGGAGTCCTGGGAGAGCAGCCCAAGCACTCTGAGGGTGAGGTGAACACAGCTCTGGAGCAGCTGATCAGCCCAGACACTTCCAGCCCTGATAACTGCACTGCCAGTGTCAGTGATATCTGCAGGGAGCTGAGACAGCTGCACATGTATGAGAGCCTGTACTCAATACCAAAACCTGGGGGCTGGAGCTGCATTCACACCTTGAGCATTTCTTGCCAAGCACTTTGTGGAACATCTGCACTGCTGTTCCTCTTGCATTTGAAATACCTGCAGCATTTTCCTTCCCACAGAAATTCACCCTGAACTGAACTGTGAGGAGGGAAATCTGTGCAGTAGAAATCAGCCTGCCCTTGACTCCCCACACACACACAAATGTTGTGCTGTCTGCCACTCACATGGAAATGACTCTTTCTCTACAAACGGTTCTGTGATGAGGCAGCTCAGCAGCCTTGGGCAGGCTGTTGAGGAGCCACAGTCTCACATCTGCGCTGTGCACAACCCACACAAGGGGACAAAGGCCAAAGGCGAGAGAGAGCTCAGCACAGAGCACACCAGGGGTGCCACAAGGCACCCTCCTACCTTTTCCTGCAGCAGCCTCTCCCTGCCCAGCACTTGCCACCTCTCCTCCTCCGGACGCTGCCAGTGCCTCTCCTGCTCCAGCTCGCTTACTCTCCTCTCTGACACATCCAGCCTTGCCTTCATCTCTGCCAGCTGGAAAGCAAGTGACACACCATGCTGGGCTCACTGGGCACTCTGCAAGGCACAGCACCTTCAGGGTGTTGAGCCAGAGGCATAAAACAGTTCCAGATTAAATGAGGAAGAGCTATTTGGATTGCTCTTCTTCTCTTTGGGGGAAAAAGGAAAGGAATTATTCAAATCTCAGCAAAGCTTTCTGGAAAATATTAGAGAGAAAATTTTCCTGATAAGCACATGAATTCACTCTATAAACTTCCTGTTCATAGCAGGAAACAGTAGATGAGAAGTGTCAGTCAATGAACCAACTTGGGTTCTGGAATACCAGATAAAATTGTAAGCACTCAACTTCACTAGGCAGCTGATGATAATGTCTGCAGCAATGACACCACACAGCCACAAGCAAGGAATAACAGCTATGTCAATTGGATCTTGGATGGAAAAAAAACAGAAATGAAAATATTTCTTTACAATTCATTTTGAGAGTCTCTGCTTACAGAGGGCAACTTTCATGGAGAATTTATCCAGATTTCACAAGAGATGGGACAAGAACCAGCATAAGTGTGATGATGTGGATCAGGGGCTGAGCACACCAGGCTGATTTTCAGTTAATTGTGCTCTCAGTTATGTGCAATTTTCACTACAGTGCGGAGGGCATGAAGATCTCTGCTGTCATGTGCACACTGACCCTAAATTTCAGGGACATTTTGCTTCTCTGGTTAGTTTGTCCTACTGAAGACTGACACACTTTGGCTTCACTTTTATGTGATGAAGCTTTTTCAGTTTGTGAGATCAAGACAAAGTAAGATATTTACCATGGCTATGGTTGGCTGGTATTTAAACACAGACTTAACTGTCAGCAGGTGGCACACATTGCAACAGAAGTTGTCAGCATTGTTACCTGCTTTTCATAAAGCTGTTTCATACTTCTAAATTGATGATCCCATTGCTTGTTCACCTCCAAAAGCTGTAATTACCAGGAAGGCACAGTAAATAACACTTATTTCAACATTTTCAGTAAATCAAAAACAGACTGGCATTCTAATCCTCTGTCAGTGAGTGCTCCCAACCTCCTCATCATCTGGCCAGTTCATTTATTTCAGAAGAAGCAAGCTGAAGGTTTGGCAAGCCTTGCAGCCCATCTGCCAGTGCTTTGGTATTTCGGTTAAAGCACACGAACATTCAGGAAGCAGCACTCAGGAAACATGCAAATACACAACAAGCTGCAGGTGGATCATTTGCAACACTGCACAAATCCCAAGCTTCAAATCCTCAATGGCCAAGGGCTTTCCTGGTAGTTTTCTACAGGTTCCATGAACATATTTCCCATTAAAAGGTCTTTGACTTCAAACAAATGAATGGAAGACTCCTACTGAGTACAAACCCTGCTTGTTGTTCCTTGGCCTTTAGCAATAGGGGTCATTAATAAAATTTGCCCTTTGTACTAAATAAACCTCTGCCCTTCCAGATCCATAGGCATGGTACAATCAGTCACCATGTGCTTTAGGGAATATTTAGGATTACCTCTCGTCTCTGTCTTTCCAGTGTGAGGATCTGTTGCTCTGGAGAATTGGATGATAAAGGCTTCTTTTTGCTCAGTAACGTGTGCCTTGACTGGAGAAAAGCAGTGTTCAAAAATTAATGCTTCTGGCCTGTTCTCTTCGAGATTCTCATGTAAGGTTCCCATCCACCCTGACAGGTGCACATAAAGAAACTGATACAAACATTTTCTTAGACCAAATTTGTATCTAAATTCCTTCACACCTGCTGGCAGCTGATCCTGGAGCATACATCTGCTTTAAACCCACTCAGGTTGTGTTTTAATTGAAGCATTATGCAAATAGCCACTGAAATAACTGAAATTGTATCTATTTGTACCATCTGAGGCACAGAACACAGAAGAGGATTTTAATTATCTTGCAGATGGCGATACAAACAAGTAGTACAAGCCACAAAAGTTGAGCATGACTTGGAGAGGGTGTAAGTAATTCCCCTCATTTACAAGAACTAGAATAATTAGTAGGATTGCCCCTGGTAAGTGCTTGCAAGCAACACAGAAAACAAATAGGCCATTTGGAGAAATTTAGTAGATCAGTCTGCAATTGTTCCATTTTTTTAAAGTGTGGAGTTTCACCCATGCAGGACAGCAGAAGCTAGACCCTCATTTTTAAAATGGCAGTGTTCTATATCATAATTTCCAAGAAGTTTCTATGGATTATCATGAAAACAAACATGTGATCTATTAGCAAGAGAGAGAGACAGAGAGAGAGAGCTGTACTGGAAAAAAAGAGACAACCTCATAAAAACAGAACATGCTTTGGTCAGATACATGCTCCGGGATTTTTGTTTCCCTCCCTAAATTCTCAACCACTGTATGAAAAACAAGAATAATGGTGTGAGCACTTCTGAGGTCTGGAATAAATTTTCTGTAGATAGAGAATTTAATGCTGAATACCAATGAAGATCAAAGGACAGTGTTGCTGTGTCTTTTCAAAGGCAAAAATCCCAACCACATATTTGCCCCATGGCCAGTCCTGCTGAACTCTTGATGTGGAGCCCTTGACTTCCAAGCCAGAAAACACTTAATCCCTCTCCCTGTAGCTCACTGACATGTTTAATTTAGAGTATCTGAAGAAATACCTGGCAGCTAATGGAGTTATTCCCATGCTGAATTGCTTTCAGCATCTGGGCCTTAGGCATATATTGAGGAGCATGTTTAAGAATAGCAATAAAGTGAATAGGACAACTCACAAACCTAACAACTACACATACACTAGGCACCAACTAGCCCAAATACTGCTCACAGGAGTTATGGGGTCACTCAAATGAACCACTTTGCACTCTTTGTGCAACTTCTAGAGGGCAAAAAAAAACCCATTAGGAAAGGGCTTCTTCTAAGAATGCTATTTGCAAAAATAATTCTAACATTTCCATCCACTCTTACACAGTTTAAATAACTCAGAAAAATCTAGTAGAGCACAAAGATTAGACCATAATTGTCAACCTACAAAGGGACCTGCACCAGCTCCTGTTAGTCAGAAAACACTTCAGAGAACAGCCAGCACAGCCACTTACCTGCAATGGTTCTGCTGGAGCTTCCATGTGACTCCCACCTGCCCAGGTGCATCCAAGCTGGCCTGGAGTGCTTCCTTCACTGCAGCTCTTGGGAGGAAGAAGAGCAATGAAACAGATTTTATGCTGGCTAAAAGAGCAAGAGAATTTCTTTGAGAACTAGAAGATCCAGGAGGGCTGCCTGTGGGAGCAGCCACGGTCCAGAAAGTAGTGGTGGAATTCTGATTTTAACCTTTTCCTCTTTCCTGGCTGGGGCTTCCCAGAATGGATGAAGCACAATGCCTATGACTAATGTGCCAGGCAAGGCAGCTCTCAGCTTTGTGTGCATGGAAATCACAATTGCCTGGCCAGTTCCCCCCAGAGAGGAAGTTGCATCTAAGGGAAGGAAGGGTATTTGCTTTTTCAGTAAATAAGAGGACAGGCTTTTCTATCCCTGCTTCCAGTTATAAAAAAGGACTTCAGTAATTACAGCAATTATTGACACTAAGAGTGAACTATCAGAAGAGAAAAAAGAGTGAGTCATGCTTCTAAAGGAGCAATAGCAAAGTCTGTTAACAGCTACAGGGAAAAGCACCCCCATACAAAAACCCCAAGATGTTTAGGGGAAAACCAACACTGGAAAATTGATTTGTTTCCCCAAAGAAAAGCTGCACACAGATGAAGAATGGCAGATGTTTTATTTGCCTTCACTTCAGCCACTTGCTTTACCTGAGCACGGATCCAGCTGAAAGACACTCCAGACTTGGGTACTCAAAGGCAGCCAACACCCCAAACCTATGCCTCAGGTTCCCACTGGGAGGAAGATGTTAGCCTTACCAAGTTAAACTCACAGAAAAGATGAACAAAGAAAAGGCTTCCACAGACTTGCTATCAAAGTCAGAATGGAACAGAAAAGTGCAAAATGTTCTCGTCTTCAGTCTTGGATTTATGAATAATAATGGCTTTCAGAGGGAAGCATAAAAGAAAAATTCTGCTTCCTATTATGGAAAGATCTCTGGGTCTATGGCTTCTCCAGCAGCAGCAGAGGTTGCTCATTTCCTTTTGAAGGAATGAAATGAAAGTTTGCCTGTGAAATTTGACATAATAGAAACCCCTCTTTCAATTTCCAAAAACAGATTTAGAGAAAGTACACATGCTGAAATTTTGCAGCCACATTCCAGATCTCTGGTTCACAATGTGTGACTAAGCAACTCCTCTTTTGTAAGATACAAACCCCAATTTGGAAGAAAGCTACTATTTTATAACATTTGCATATGAAATATGTCCTGTTACCCTGAGGTTCTTTCCATTTTTCCCCTGGTTTATGGAGCAGACAGAAAACTTGTGGTGAATGAAGAGAAAAATTCAAAACCAAAGGTTATTTTAGTGAAGAAATTGGAAGAATTTCATCTGTACCTATATCAAAACTAGACATTGAGCATATCAGGTGCAGCACTGAAGACTATTAACTGGTGCAGAACAGTACCAACACTGGGCATCTGCTTAATAAAATTAAAATCCCAAACATTCCACACTGCTCTTGAGGATGATGATGCTGTCCCTCCCCCAAGCTCCCACTCTCACCAGTCTCATCCCCTCTCCAGCAGCAAGCTCACTTTTGGAGAAAGCTCAGGCTGAACAGCTGCACTTTATGGTCTGGCTGCAAGGGGAGGCAGCCCCAGGTTCTGGTTTCCCCACACGAGCAGGCTGGGATGTGGTGGGTGAGGCGCCGAGCATCCCCACAGCGGGGACAGAGGGGCAAACCCAGGGCTCAGCCCCACTCCTGAATCACAGCTCCCACTTGAAAGATATTAATGCTCAAATTACTTTGAAGAGAGGATGAGGCTGAGACCTTGGTTGATTCTGTAACTTAGGTCACAACAGTTTCCTGGAGAGCTGAGTCGTTTCCTGGAAAGCTACCTGGCCATTAGAACACTAAGTTCTTGTTAGTGATTCCTTCCTGACTGCAATAATGCAGATGATTTACATCATAATCACAATAAAATTAATGATTTTACATAAAACTGGACAGAACAGAAGACTCAAGTACTTGTCAGTGCCTGTCTCGTCCAGCTCAGCATTGATAGGTATAATTGTTTGCCATGTAAAAACAGATTGGAGAGAGAAGAGTATGCCTGAGATCTGTATGAATAGAAGAAATGGCAAAAAGTAGGGAAGAAAAACTCAAGCTCTTCAGAGGTGGTGGTATTCTTCCAGCAAAAACTGGGAGGCTGAAGCAAAATCATTGCCTGTCTCTGTGAAAACAGTTAACAGCACCAAAAAGAAAGAGAAGGAGATGGCAGCATTCATTTTCATTGATATTGCAGTGATAAAGACGCTACATTTCTTTATGTTTACTGCTATCAAGAAAAACTTGGTTGTACAACAGCACTGCAGACACCTGAGATATACAGAAATCCTTGAAAGAAGGACACTTTGAGACCTATCAGGTTTCAGAATTCAAAAAGCCCCATAAATCTTTAAAAGCATTTATACTTGGTTTAAAGCTATTGAACAAAACTGTCGGTTTTAAATTGCTTGGAAAATTCCAGTTGACAATCAGACTGTAAATGCAGTTACAAATCTAAAAAATCTGTCAGGTATGGAAAAAGCTGCTCAGAAAGTAAATAGGAAAATTTGCTGCCTCTCACACTTCCTAAGTTCACTCCCAAGTGGCATCTTACAACAACTTAGAAGCCTCTTATTAATTTCTATTTTATTTCCAGGATAATCTGTAATTTCTATTAGTAGCAGCTTTGAGATTGTTGTTTTGTTTTCTTTTCACATCCTGCTAAAAAATGAAAAGTATTTTAGTTTGTATTCTAGGATGACCTGAGCTTCCTGAGCATAAAGGGCTTTTAGGCATCTTTGGGAAGCTTGCAGTGGGAGAAAAATCAGAGCCTTGTAGCTGTGGCCAGCACTGAACCCTCTCACAAGCCTCAGCACCAGAAGATGATAAAAGTTCTCATTTTCAGAGCGCTGGATCTTAATTCTGGGAACAACTTGTGTCACAGTATTACAAAATATCACTCAAACTCACATAATGAAAACCATTTCTCACTTCTGAAAATTCTGTCTGTTCAGTATCTGCAGTGAAACCAAGACTCACTAAAAGGCCTGATGCAATCAAATGGGAGGCTTTCCTTGATGATGATAAAATCATACAAAATGACAAAGTAATTTTTTTCCTAGCTGGTCATGCATCTGCTGTGTGGTTTGTTGGGGATTTTCTTTGATTATAATTTTTTTTAAATTTATTGTTCTGTTAAAGAGTGGTAGAAGCTAGAGCTAGATTCACTCTGAGATGACTTGGATTTAAATTTGGTAGCTTTTAGGAGCCTTCACTTTGCTTATGTTTCACTGAGCTCTGTTTTTGGCTTTATTACTGAAGCTGTTATGCCAGCAGTGTTTGCCACAATATCCATTTTCCCATTCTGAGGCATGTGCAAAATGATAAAAAATGAGAGATTATAGCTGAAGACTAAAATTGGCTCTTGAACCAGAAGAAGAATCTGCCTCCTCCTGCCCCAACCTGGCCCCTGTGGCTCACCAGAGAGGTGTGCTAAAATGGGATTTTCCCTTCAGTAAGTGTGCCAGCCTCAGCCTTTTGTGCTGCTCAGTTACATCTTCCCTCTGACAGAAAAATAGGTGCAGATGCAAATTTGTGTCTTAATATGTGGGAAGCAGATAAAATTAGAGCAAGACATGGTTTCAGAGGAAATCAAAATATTTGAGCACAGGCTCCTGCTTCAGGATTTCCTTTATCCACTAACCATAAGGGCAAGGCCTCTCAAGTACCTAAGCATTTGCAAACTCAGGCCTGCTGATGAAAATCCAAGTTCCACGTGAAAAGAATTGGATGACAATTTGCCAATCTCAAAAATGCAAATCTATTCCCTTTCCTGGAATGGAGAATGCAGCATCAAGACAAGCTGCAACTGAAGGAATCATAGACCGAAGGACATGCTGAGAAGTTCATAAATTCTTATGGAAAAAAATCCCGGCAAAAAGGGGAATTTGTTTAAGATACTTATAGATTTGTCTTGAAAGTGATTTAAGGTCAGATGGAAATGCCATTCTGCAGAGTGCAATTTGTACTCTTCACTCCAGAAAAAATGTTACAGAATGAAAATGACCTGCTGTCTCTGACAAATAACTTCCTGATGAATGACTGACACTTAGGGAAGGGTACACTTTTGTTTCATTATTAACTTTTTCTTAACTCTTGAGCATTTCATTTGTCCCTCATTTCAAGTGCCAATCAGCCTCACCTCCCAAAATGCTATTTTGTGGTGTGAGGTTCTTTTAGTATTATTTCATAATCTTCACAAATTCTACTAGGTGTTAAAAATTTGCCCTCCTTTCCCAAAACACAATCCAAGACAGGTACTCCTAGCACCTTACACTGAGGTTGTTGAAGCTCAGCAAGACTGTCAAGCTGTCACTTGAATCCCAGCTCAATAACCAGCCAAGTGACAAGCTGTGACTTCGAAATATGAATAAAAACCAGCCAGCATGTGTCTAGTGCAGCAATATTATGAAGTATCCCACTTGAAGCTCTGAACACCTCACACATCCATTTTAAAGGTAAGAAGTGCCATAAATGCAGAGTGTAAAAGCACCACAGATTAAATACTGCCACTGTCTCCTGTGTGGAGCACTGCAGCGCTCCTCAGAAAGGGTGAGCACATCCTTTCTCTCTCCTCCTCACATTGCCCATATCCCCATATCCCCCAAATCCTTTCCTGTGTCTCCTTCTGCTGGAGAGAGGCTAACACGTGGATTTCCATGGATCGTTTGTGGCTTGTAATTTCACAGCCTGATTCTGCCCTGACTTGTGCTTCTCCCCCGCCTCCGGGAATCCCCATCCCTCCCTGCTGGTTTCTAATCCCACCGGTCTGACCCTGCGGTGTCTCCTCAGGCTGCCTCAGCTCCGTGCCCCGAGGTCATGAGTCATTCTGGAGATGGCGGTTTGCATGTGAAAGGAGCCGGGTGTAATTTCGGATTTCGTAGAAGAGAGTCATCTCCCTTCTAGCTCCTCACCGATTTCCTGCCCCGTGCCTCGGCGTGCAGCCTTCGGAGCGCTCCTCTCCCCATCCCGTGCTGCAGTGGCACAGGTAAGAGCGCCATCCCTTGCAGGTGGATCATTCACGGTTTAGTCACTCGTCTCCTCTGCAGCCCTCCCTCCTTCCTGTTCCTAGTTTGTGGAAAACGGGGAAATTCCTTCTATTCTCGCTATTTCAGGGGAGAGGAGCGAAACTGAGAGGGAAACCCAGAACAAGTTTCTGTCAGGCTTGTTAACCACGGCTTCACTGCAGGCAAAGACAATTGCCTTAGCAGGTGGCTTACGATTTTCTGTTTGCAATACCACAGAAGTGTGGGTTTGAATCATCATCATTTTCCCTCTCCTCTCTTCCTATTCATCTGAAAGCCTTTCTGACACTTCCACAGGTCTGTGTCTCCCACACCTCTGCTCATTCCCAGCTAAATCAGAACTTCCAAATGCATCAAAAATGACAGTGTTTTGGGGGTTACACAGTTCCAAGGAGCTGTGTTATCCAAAAGGTACATCTGGCTATAGGGTTTGACACTTAGGATAATAACCAGTGGGTTTAGCTGACCTTTTAAAGCACTATAAAATGCACCTTCTCAGTCACTCTTCCTCATACCAACAAGTAGCTATGTCAGGGAAAAAAAATGTGCAGCAAGTTCATTGCATCATTTCAGAAATCCTAAAGTTTCATGCATAGTCAAGCCCCGCAGAGAACATCCCCTGAGCGTTCTTTCCTGGCAGATAAACATTGCAAAAGCACACTGTGATTACCTTAAGGGAACACGAAGTTCTCTGAGGGCTCAGCCTCTCTTGGGCAAGAGGTTTGGGGTCCTCACACGACTCCAAAGCGTTGCTCTTCCCTATTAGGTTCCTTATTTCAACATCCAGCTCTTTACTTTCACACCTGCTCAGGAAGAAAAAGCAATGTTACAATTTACACCAGAATTTGCGACTTTCTTGTGAATGTGAGAACAGAGCTGGTCCTGCACCAGGCTCCAGCTCCCTTCCTTCCTGGTAACACAAGCAGAGAGCACCAGGGCAGTGACACACAATCTTCATGTGGCAGAAATCGATTTAAAATACTTACACAAGAAACCTTTATGAATTTTACCACTTTTCACCTACAAAATCCAAATCGACACTTTTGGGAATTATATTAAGACTGCCACATGCCCTAAACCTCACTCAGAGTTTCAAGAGTTTTAAATTCAGCTTCAGCAAAAATGGTATCAGAATAGTTGAATAGGTTTAGAACTGCAAAACTAGGTGCTCTAAGTCTTTTGAGTTCAAAAATCTCATATTCACAAAGTCTTTTAATGGCACCTTTTGTTTTCTCTAACACTTTGTAGCAGACACCTGACACACATTTTCAAATTTTTTTTTCCCTTAAAAATTCCTTTTAAAAACATTACTATCTTGCAAAAAAATTGGTCTGTTGAGAACACTTTTTTTTTTTTTTTGCAGGAAAATTCTTTTCTTTCAGTCTCACTGCTAAGGACATACAGGAGTTAGGTGCACAAAAGGGCTTGTTCCAGATTCACAGAACAAACTTGCCACTAGGGCTGATTCACTTGATACACTGTCATGGTGGAATGTGACTTCCAGATAATTAACTGAGATACAATTAGCACAAGCCCCTAAATCTCCTAGGTCAACCCAAGTTATCAAGATTCATCTCTTTTGCAAACTTAGACTTCATTGCCTAATCAACTTAAACCAATTTTAAATATAATTAATGCATGACCAGAAAGCAAACTGCAAGGCTCAAAAAAAAAATCACCGACCTATTATAGCAAGATTACTTCTTGATTTCAACAGAAAATACACAATTTTTTACTTGAACCACCAGAAAAACTGAAAGCTGTAAGAGTTTGTCAATTATACTTCCTGAAGTTTAGACAGGCAATCATAAGGGAGTGAGCAGCAGGTTCTGAGGAAACTCTTGAAGCGAAATTGATAAAATTGCCCAACAAACAAACAAACCCATTTATCTTCATCAAAGAGTAAAGAAGTGTGGTGAATTTCATGCTGATAGCACAGAACGATTCATTTAATGCTCCATATTTAAAACACAGAGACTGTAGCAGAAATGTATTTTCACTAAGCACGGGGGAAAAAAAATCATTTCCAAGAGGAAATAAAATACCAAGAGTAGCAAATAAGGGCTAGTAAAATTCTAGAGCTGGGTTGTTTGGGTGGTTTTTTTTTGACTTGCTGCTGGTAGTTAGACAAGCTGTACTTTGATAGCCATGAGGACTAAAAGCAAGCCCTTCCCCAGGCACATTGGAGGAGGAGGAGGCTGCGGCTGCTCTGAGGGCCGGGGCAGGGCTCCGCAGGCTCAGCCGGGCGTGGGTGGCAGGTGAGCCGCAGCAGCAGCGCGGAGAAAACGGCGGGAGGAAACAACGAACCTCGAGGCAGAAATCCAGCCCTCCTCCGGCTGGCTAAATGTGGCAAAATCCTGGATAAGCCAGGGCAAGGGGCGCTTGTTCCAAGCCATTCTGTGCTGAGGCTCCCACACCTCAGGCGGCACTTCCAAGGGCACTTCCCTGGAGAACAGCACCATTGGGACTGCGGCTCCTGATGCTGCCTGAGGCAGCTTGGTGCAGCAGAGGTGCACAAGCCCCGGGCACAGCCCTCGCCGCTTCCGAGGCTGCTCACAAGAGCTGAAAAGCCACAGCACGGAAGCAGCCGCTCGCTGCTGCAATTCACCACCCCAGCTGCCAGCACAGCCCACTCGCCCAGCTCGGGCACAGCAGCCAGTGCTTCCAAACTCTTTCAAGCCAAATGAAGCAGCAAAGCGTAAGAAAAAAATACTCAGAATAAAGGAGCAATGGCTGGGTGCAGCCCTGGGGGCTGTAAAAGATGAGCAGCAATGTGGCAGGAGTGCAGCAGCAAATGCTTAGGCAGGCTGCACACAGCTCTGCTTCTGGTTCAGCCGCTGCAAGGGGAGATGTGTGACCACAACCTCCTGAGGTCAGAGCATGAACCAAGCTGAGAACAACCCATAAACATGGGGGGCTGGCTTTTGATATGTTTTTTTCAGTCAGGAAGTGTTCCTTGCTCTGCTCACCGCAGTTTGATGTTGTAGCTGTAAATGATAATCACCTCTGGCTGCTCCTACCCTTGCCTGTCCCTACACTCCTCTTTCTGGATTTACCTGGGCAAAAGCAGGACACAGCTGTGCCTGGGTAAAACAAAGGGAACTACAAAAGGCTCAGATCTCTACAAACCAATTTCTGCTCTGCGTTTGAAGACTGTCACAAAAGTCAGAAAGTTACTTCATTTTTAGACTGAGAAACTACGACTGCATTTATCTGCATTTTATTATCAGCCACTCTGACAATCAGATGGATAAACTTATGGTGAACTAGACCATTATTCAGATCTGCTGTGGAGATCTGATTTAGAATCTGGACTTTCAGAGCACACAGGTGCTCTGAGTGCTCAAATACATCAAGGGACTCCTGATTAGGAGCTACCCCAGACCGAGACTACCAGAGCTTCCCCCAGAGAGCTCTAGAGGGCACACAGCATTCAGATTCTGCACACAACAGTTTGCAAAGCTGCTTTTGGTTTCCTGGAGTTCACAGGAAACCTCTGCACCATTAAAACTTTTGAGAAAATATTAAAATATTAAAAGCATTTTTCTGTGGTCACACAAGATAAAGTATAATCCTCCCATGTGCTAAAGCTTTCTAAGGTATAGATATAAAAACTACACATAGCAAGCTGTGATTACTGCAGAAGGCAATCAAAGATTAGAATGTTAACTCTTTTTTGGAGACTTTGAGTTAGTTGTAAAATTTTCTTTTTTGAAAAATTAAGATATTTGACACAGAAGCAGAGGGTCCAGATGTAATGAAGGAAGCTGGCCTCCCAGTCCAAGTTTTAGCAGCTTGCAGGGAAAGCAGACAGCCCAACCTTCCTCACAATTTCCATGTCAGATCTGAAAAGCCATGTCCACCAAGAATAAAAATTAGGCATGTTCTCTTGGGTTTTCAAGTTGTCATATCCATGCAGAACTTCACTTTGCACTCCACTAAAGCTATTTTCATTTCTCCCACGTGTTCAACTTGCTGCATTTAAAATGGTTTTCACTTCTTGCCCCATAGTACATCTTTGCACCACTTCAGTTTTTAGCTACACTGCCCTATTTATAATTTTTGGTACTATTTATAATAGCATAATTCTCTAACTAATAATGAGTGTTTGTTTATAAATGGCTGCATAGTTTTTACAGCAATTCCAGTTTTAAGCAGAGAGCCAGAACATGATCAGCCCCATGCTTCAGGCTTGAGCAGCACAGATTGAAGGCTGACAACCAAAAGTTCCTCAAATAAGAAGGTAGAGGCTCCATAGGAGTGCCAGTTTTGCATCTCTTGACTTTTTCCTGTTTCTTACTGGAAAATGGCATTATTCCTTACTCATAGCAGTTACATGGCCACAATGGACATACCTACGAGATGTCTTGAGGCATTTATTACACAACACTCATACCAAAGCCATGTAATTCTATTTTAACTATCAATTTCAAGGCTGGTGTGCTGGGGTCCTTCTCTTGTGGTGGTGAAAGCACAAATACACACCATAAACAATTGTGAAAAAAAGGCTTTAAGGCAGGATTTACAGCCAGACGCCAACACCATGGAGCCATATTTTGATGGGAAATGAATTCCAGAGCTTAATGGTAAAACATGTGCTTCCTCCCCTTGGGTGGGCATTTGGGATATAGGATTCTTGTTTGGCTAAGCCTAGGAAGTAAATTCATGGATAAAAAGAAATTTCTGCATTTGAATTATGGAGAAAGAACTAGTCAGATCAATTTAAAATGTGCCAAATTGTTTCGGCTAATATTTCCCTTATTTGTGATAATAGACTTCATGTCAGAAAAAGGCCTGTAGAATAAGGGGGAGAATCGGATTGAATTACAGAATATTTAATCTAACTTTCTCTAGAAATAGACTTAAAATAGGAATAGAAACAGGGATATAATTTTTTAAAATGACAGTTTATCTCTAGAACAAGGCTATTCTCTTATGTTCCATGTAATTTTGCAGAACTTTTGCTCTCTTTTAATTCAGTTTTGTAGAACTCTTCGATTTTTTTCTTCATGCAAATACATTGAGATTTTTATATTGAAATTTTCAGTTAAGACTGAAAAGTAGCAAAGAATTTCCAAAATTAAAATTTCCAAATTCAAGTCAAATAAGCAATAGGAAGAAGAAAAATTTGCTGAGAAGACAAAAACACTTTTGTTACTGAAAAAAATTTTGCAGCCCTGTATGCTGTTAGAAGTTCAGCAGACTCTGAGCTGATAGGGAATAGTTAAAAAGTGGTGCAGCTCCCTAAGGACCAGTGGTGCTATTCCAGTACTCAACACTCCACTCAAAGTTTAGGCTTGGGAATTTGAGCCAGAACTTTTGAAATTGAGCTCCACTCATTCCATGTTCCACCTCACATGTACCACCATAAAAAAACAGTTTATTGGGCATAAAACATACTGTGCTGGGACAAACACAAAAAGAACACCTGCCTTTGATGATTATGAGTAGATACTTGAAAAGAGAGTTTAGGGGGGAAAAAAAGCAGCAGCATGTTATTTGAAATTGTTTTTCGCTTAATATTTTAACTTGAGTTTCACCCCCAAAAATTTATCTACTGTTTCAAGAGCATAGATGGGAAGCTAGCCAAACATCAACTGAGATCTACCTGGCAGAATTGCTCTGTCTTCAGAGTCCCACAGGTCAGTGTGGGATTAGGAATAATCTCACCCCAGTGCCAAGAAGAGAGCTCCATGAAGTGAGTGATAGGGGTTAAAACAAGCACTGTGACCATAGCAGAGAAACCACCTAAAACTTTCCCTCAAACCTGATGCAGCCAAAACATCTGCCTCTCACCCCATAAACGTCCCTACACTTCTGTTCCCTTTATGACAAAGGAATGGGCCTTTTAAGGCACTGTTAATAGCCAGCAGCTGTTGGGCTGTCAAATGCCACATCTGGAGAAGCTGTGTGCTGTTAATGTGAGCAGAAACAATTATTCCTTAATACTTTTGCTTAATTTTAAGAATTACACAAATGACAACAAAAGGGGGGCATGTTCTTAATGGAAACACATCTGGTTTCCTCTGAAAATAAAAAAGCCAAAAAAAGAAAAAAAAAAAACCAAAAAGGGGGGCCCAGTGATTAAGTGAAGCAGCACCTAAAACCCATCCCAGCTCAGTGAGGAGAAGGAAAGCTACTGATGGTATACAGGCACTCAGTGTCTCTCAGTGTTTGACTACTCCCCTCAGGAAATTTGCAACATGCAACAAGACCATGGCTGTTGGTTTGCATTACATGATGTTACTTATCACATGGTGCTGTTCCCTCTGTGCCTGGATATTCCTGTCCCTTGGGAAGTTTCCATGCTGCTGCCTCACCCCTGTACTCTATACAGCTCGTACATCAGGAAAAGAGCATCACCCTCCTTTCACTTGGATCTTCCAGTTCATTTTACTACCAAGACATCGACTGTCTTCATAATGGACAGCATTAGGGCTGCATTCTAACCTCAGGAAAGCCAATTCAATTATTTCCACCAACTTTCTCAGGCTTCAAATGAGCCCTGGGAGAGTTGCAGACAACTGCCTCCCTGGAGAGGCAGCAAGTGGGGCACTGTCACCCAGACTCAGCCCCCAGGCCTCACGTAGCTGTGTGTGCCTCACCAGGGGAAAGGGAATTGATTTCTGCCATGGAAATCAATCAAGTGGCAAGCCTGGCCAAGCAAATCTGCCAAGCAGCACGTGCTGCCCGAGCCGATGAACTCCCCCACTGAAAGGCACACATGCAGAAAGCTGTGGGGAGGTGGCAGGAACGTGTTGAAAGAACTGAAAGCTAAAACGACACAAAGGGAGGCAATAGAGATATTTTTCAAGCACTCACTCTTTTTCTGTGGAGATCAACGCCTAGAAAAGCTTGTGCCCCTGTCAGGGCACTTTGCTGGCTTCAGTACGTGCCTTTTTGGAATGGTGTCCCTCCCATGGCCCCTTCTGGACTGGCTGCTTGCCCTGCACATTCAGCTGCAGCCCCACAAGTCTGCTCACATCATCCACGTGCTTGTTCCTCTGGGAAGCTCTGGCTCTGACGCAGTGCAACTGCACAGAGCTGACATTTTTAACTGGCACTTGACACCACTGCTCTCTTTTCAACTCAGGCACCACCACAAGCAGCCCATTGTGCCTCCTGCTGCAGCCTGGGCCAGGATGGGGATGCCTCACCAACACCCTGTTGAGCTGGGCTGAGCCTTTGGAGGAACACAAGCCCACGATTCACTGGAGTCTGTTTCCACCACACAGAGCTGAGGGATTTGCAGGGATCTACTGACAGCACGAGCAGGACAGACAGATGAGAACCATTTGGAAACGCAGCCAGGAAATGGAACATACAGTAGCTGACAGGGGACAACCAGCTCTTGAAGTCAGGTCAGCTCCTTGCCTGTGGTGGCTGCCAGGCAGCCCCAGCTGAAAGGCAGAGGACTCACTGCATCATACTTAATCCTCTCAGTGTCATCAGTGGGACAAATACCACCTTGTGAAACTGCAGGTGCCCAAAAATTTTTAACAAAGAAGTTTTTCCATGCAACATAAACACAGTACCTTTCCATCTCAACACACTGATGGGGGCACAGCTCCATGCAATCCTCTGCATCTTTCTTCTTCATTCTGAGCTCCTCACAGTGAATCTATTAGGAGCAGGGAAGAAAAAACAAGAGTTTTTAAGGAGAAGTAAACAAAAAAAACCCAGCAATCTAAGAAGAAAAAGTTAAGTAACCAATTACAGTGAGAACAGAGAACCGTGTCTTTCTTGTATTTCTATTTTATTTTTCATAAATTACAAATGGTTGACAAGCAAGCCAGGAATCTACTTCCTCCTTGCCAGCACCATCCTCTATGAAGTCCACCACTGTGTCAGGGACAGTTCTGCAAGGGCAGAACTGGCTGCTGTGACAAAAATCTACCCAAGGAACAAAGCTGCCAGCAGTTGCAGGAACACTGGAAGCGTTGCAAAAAAGGCTTTTATTAATCATCCTAAAAGAATCAATTATTTTTCATACTCTTGAATTCAAGCGTGTCCTCACATTGTCCAAAAAATTCCTACACTTCATGGAAGTGCCCAATAAAACTACTGCCCCAAAATTAAGAGAATTTGAGTAATGACTCTGATCTAAATCACTTGGAGAGAAAAGGAGCCCCATGGAAGTTATTGAGCATGAGTGTGTTGTTCCAGCACTCTACAAGCTCCCCTCTGGTCAGGCAAGTTACTCTCCAGCACTGCATTTCCAAAGAGAAGGGAGACAAAAAAAAAAAATCCCAGACCAAGCTCCCAGAGAAAAAGGCTGCTACAGCAAGCAGTCCACATTAAGATGATCTCTTGAAACTGGGGATTTTGAATTAGAACTCCAAACATGAAGAAAGCAAGCACCACCTGTCTGTCTCAAGTGGAAGAAGACATGGTACACAGAGTGAGCCAACACCACCTCATCCAGAGCAATCATTCTGCTCCTGTACTGCAGGCTGGTGACAGCCCTGGGGATGTTTCCTCAGACACCTCCAGTTCATCAGAAAAGGAGCCCAGAAGCCTTCCTCTTCTCTTTAGATCAAACATCATCATCATGGCAATTGCTAGAACTGAAAATTGACAGGTTTCATAGGACCCATCCTAAGGACAGCAAGGTGACCACTGAAATGAAGAGGGGAGCCATTCAGAGCTAAACCTGCTATTTATAAGCAAATCAGTTTTCAATTACAAGTTACTGTCCTTATTGGTAACATCAGGTTGATGTGAAACCACAGCTGAACATTTTATAGAAACCATGCTGCTTCATCTATGTGCAGGGCAGAAATTTAAAATGAAAGGTTGCCAGCAGAAGATCTGAGGTGTTTGGCATCCCCCCACTTTCTAAATTCCAATTCCTGCAGGCATTTCACACGTTCTAAATGCATCTGGTAATCACTAATTACAAGGATCCCATTAAGGAAAAAAATGTCAATTCAGTTTCATGTGAAACTTGATTCCAGCTTGTCTGAGTTTTATGAGTGTCTGTTTAATCATAACACAATCACATTGAAGTATGGAAAGCTGCATTTGATTGATTTCAATTGGAGCAGCAGACACGGGGGACTAGTGAGGATTAAGCCTTATTTTGGAGTGCCTGAACTTGGCTTGCATGTGTCTGACTAAAAAAATATAAAATTTGAAAAGCATTGACCTGGAATGAACACTCCACTGTCACTGAAACAACAACAACAACAAAAAAGCAAAATGACTAAAAGGAAGGAGAATGAAAAAAAAACCCAAACTGACCCAGAACACCACAGAATTCAGACTGCTACTCCAGCCCTAATTTGTCCACTGAGCTTTGACATTTCACCAGTTTCAGGTGTATTTGCCAAGCTGGGCACAGTATTGCAGCCCACATTAAAAGGATGCAGGTGAAATGTTACTGAAAATATGACACCCACGTTGGTACGAATCCTGTAAGAATCAAGCAACACACTGAAAAACTGGAAAGGAGCAAAGCAGTGGTGAATGAACAAAAATCTATTTATTCAGTGTTCTCTCCTGGTTGTGCAGGGTGAGCCAGATTTGGGGGCCCTGCTGGGAGCACTCTGGGTTTCCTGTGTCCCTGCTCCACTGAGCCAGGCAAACACAGAGCAAGCTGCCAGGTCCCACATCCCTGCATGGCCCAGCTGCACAAATATGCATTTCTGCAGAAGCCCTGCTGCTCACACTGCTGGGGTGGGGGAGGCTGTGCAGGTCTCCTGACTCTTAGTCATATGCAGATTTTGTAGCTAAAATCCAAATCTCCGCTTGAGAACCTGAACCAAAGAGATGCAACCCAGTCCCCGTGCCCTGTGCAAGTGTTTGTTATTAGGACAACCAGAAGTTTTTACAATCATAATATGCAGTGTAATGCTGTAGGTTTTTATTAGATCTGGCAGACTGAAGCCTAGATGGATAAAATTCAGCTACTTCAAAGAATTAAGGCTCTGTAAAAGAGAGGGTTGTAATGGTCATGTAAAGGATTGCCCAGAGTTACATAAATTTTCTGCTTTCTGTCAAGGCTTTTAAGAACAGGAACACCCTGAAGTAAAACAGAATCAGTCCTGCTCACAGATTTATGGGGTTTTGCAATAATTGGAAATGTTTGTTAAAAAGGGTGCAGAATTTCCTTGGTGCTCCCCCCCCAAATATATCACAGTTCCAAGCCCTAAGTATTTTGTAGATACACCCACAATAGGTCAAAAAGGCACTTGTTTGGCTGGAATATTAATTTGCATTAAAAACAAGTTTCCCACATGAAAAAAAAACACATTTGAAGATGAAAAAAATTACATTGTTCAAGGAAGACAATGAGACTCACTAATTCTAATGAAATCTTAACTGTAAAATTGATTACAACCAGAGAGACACTCATCACAGTGGTGTTTCAAAATATTTTCCAAAGTGCTTTTCACAAACATCCTTATTGTAAATGTTAAATCCAGCACTGATCTTGCTCCATTCTCTTTTTCTTTCCCCTAATCTAGTTCTAGCTTAAGAGCATCTGATGTTTCCAAACCCTTGCTCATTTCACCCAAACTTGCTCAGTAATTCATTTTCCTTTAATTTGTATCAAAGCAATATTTTGTAGGAATGCAATTTAAAATGAATGCCAGAGATGAGCCAGACTAAAAGCACAAAAAGGGGAAAGGAGATGTTTGGTTTGGTTTTCCTGCCTAGATCAATTCCATGGTTCAGTTTTACAGGTCACCACCATCACCAGACATTGTCCCAGTAGAAAGAACAGAAAAGAAACAATATGCCAAATAAATTAAAGTACCTGCTGACAAAATTCACAAAAGGAATAAACCCACTCATAAGTTACCTTTCCAGTAATACACATTTTTCTGTTGTGAAAGCTGCAGGGCCTGTCACAGCCAGGCTGAGTAAATCTGCCTCATTTAAGCATTACCCAGATTGCAAAATAGCTCCAAAACAAAGTGGAACAAACACCATCACCAGTGCTGTTGATAAACAGGCCAGCAGGTTACACATTATTTGTGTGTGGTTGACGTGTAGGAGGAGTGGGAGGCAGAAATGCATTGTTACAGTAAATATGATCAAAATGGAAGAACAACCAGAGAAATAAAAGAGCATTTGATGCAAGAGAGCCTAAGCAACACTCACTGAAACCAAACTAAAATAGGAATAAAGCCTTCAATACTTTTTTGATGAAGAAACCAAGCACAGAACATGTTTGCCATCCCCCCCTACCTAGATATTCTCAGGTTTTGTTCTCAGAGCAGCACTTGATCCAGCCATTACCCTGCATGTCTGTCTGCCCTTTGCTGAAAATGCAGCTTCACACACACAAATGCTGCCTAGAAAAAGCCACAAACACAGCAAGATCTGCCAGTTGTCTCCTCCCCCTGTTACTTCCTGATAGAATGCTGAAACTTCAGCATAAGACAGTTTCTAACTAAAATTTTAAACCCAAAGCTTGATTTTAGCCAAAAATAAAGAGTAGATAGTTTCCTAGAGTAAATAAATAGTAGACTAGATAGCTGTCTTGCCTAATTTAATTTGGACAAAATGAAACTGGTACCTGCCCTGTGTGATGCAGGAAGATTTAATGCTGAATACCTGAAGCTGGTCTCCATATTAAGCACAATTCTCCTTTATTAAGGTAACTGTAGATTTTAAGCAGAAATCCTTGCAAAGAACTGAATTCCCAGAAGCCCTCCCATGGAGCTGTGATATCCACAACTTGATAAACAGTGTGGGCTGTGCTCCCCCATACTGGGTTTGTGAAAATGCTCCTCTTGACACACGAATTCGTGTCAGTGGTGAGTGCAAAACCCTGCTTTAAACAACAGGACCTCATTCAAAATCAATACAACACTTGTTTCTTGAACTGGAACTGAGACACAACCAATTTGCAGGCATGTTTTTCCCTTTGCCAATCAGCAAATTTCTAAACATCTTTGGACTGAAGATCTCGAGAAGATCTAAAAGTCAGAAGATTATTCCCCAGTGAGTATACATCCCTTCAAGTTAAATCAGTTGCACAAATGCCACCAAAAAGCCACCACAGCTGTGCTCAGCCTCGGGTGACACACATTTTACACATTTACATTTGGCTTACCATGTCAGTCATCCACACAGGCACCTGCACAAGTGAGTTTAAAGCACACAGACTCATTTGAAAGGCCACAAAACACAAGCTCAGTGCCGAAAATATCATGACCACACTCCCAACATGCAAAAGAGTCACATAAGAAGTGACCAGAGGAAGTTGCAAATATCATCTCACCAAGCCATCAAAGTCACACACAACCTACCTCAAAACACCCTCAGTACTTCTCCTGTTAAAAATGAGACTCCTCATTTTTAAAATATTTATAAGAAGTTTTGTCTTCATGGCAAATGTTCAGTTCAGCTAAAGCCAAGTAGTGCACAGAGGTCTAGGTACAAAGGCCATGATACTCTGAGCACACTTGCTGTACACAATTCCTGTGGAAGCAAATTGTTCATGGAATAAAAATTAATTTCTTAAAAACTATATAATATGTTGAAAAAGTAAAACACTCAACAATTAATATCTTTTCAATGCTATTATCTGTGTCCAATTTTCATTTGCTCAACAAATTATTTGGAAGTGCGCAAGACAGAAAGCAAGTACTTATTTGTTAAATGTCA